CATAAATATATTTGCTTACAAAGTTTATATACATTGTGTTTCACACTAGTTTTCACTCATATTGTGTTTTATACATTCATTCCCATGCATTATGTTTTATAAAATTAATCATAATTGGACTATGCCTATCAATACTCTGTCTTTTCAGGTGCCCTCTGGATCCTTCTCATTTCTTTCCATCCACTAAAATGTGCACCCTTGTGGTTTTGCCCTTACCCATTCTCACTCCTCCACTCTCTCCCATTCCTCGCTTGGGTATAAAACAAATGATCTTCCAAGATAATAAATTGTCAAAACTGACTGAAGAAAATATAGAAACTCTTAGCCGACCAAGAACTGTGAAGGGAATTGAGAAATTTGTGGAAAACTCTCAAGACAGCTTTATGTCTACATAGTTTTACAAACCAATGAAACCAGCCCTTCAAATAAAATGTTGTTTGTTTGTTGTTGTTATGTGTCTTCAAGTCCAATGCAACTCATGCCAACCCTAAAGCTCTGAACACTGCCCTATCCTGAGCTAATCTCATTGTGTCTGACACACCTAACCTATTACTCCAGTTACAGTGTCAATCTGTCTCATTCAGAGCCAAACATAATGTCCGTTTCCAAGGATTGGTCTCTCTTGGCGGCATTCCCAATGTCACACAAAGCTTCAAAATTCTTATCTCAAAGGAGCAACCCCTGTTTGTTCTTTTGGCAGCCCATAATATGTTTAATACTCTTCTCCAACACCACAACTCAAAGGCATTGGTTCCTCTCCTACTATGGACATTGTCCAGATTTCTGATACATAGCAAGTTAATTCCAGAGACCATCACCTGGATCAGGAGCACCTTAGTCTCTAAATAGACATCCTTGCTCTTCTGCACTCTGACAGAAGTTTTTCCCCAAGGCAATTTGTCTTTATTTCCTGGTTGCTGGTGCCAAGAGTGTTGATTGTGGAACCGAGCAAGCTGAAATTGCTAACAATCTCAATCTCCATCGTGGTGCTGCCAATTCCTAATGGTGAGAATCTTTGTTTTCTTTATGTTGAACTTCAATCCATATTGAAGGCTGCAGTCCTTAACCTTCTGCAGCAAATACTTCAAGTCCTTCACAGTTTCAGCAAGCAAGGTTGTATCATCTAGAGCATAACACAGTTTGTTAATCAGTCTTCCTCCAATCCTGATGCCACATTCATCCTCATAAAATCCAGCCAAATAGTAATAGCAGTAATTAAAAAAATTATAATATCTGATTTTAGTCCCTTATTTCAATAAAGTAGAAGAGGAGAAGTATGAAAACCAGAAAGAAATAGAGACCAAAATCTTTTCCCAACTTTAGATCTCTTTGATCTGACTTCTCCCAAAGGGAGAGGGGAGACTCCAAAAGAATGAAATATTGGATTTTTTAAAGTATTTTTATCTTATGTACATAAAACTATACAAGTAATTTTACACTTTTAACAAAGTAAATATATAATTAGCACTTTTTTCAAGAAATAGGATATTATCAACAATTCAGGCATCTCACTTTATCCATACCCTCATTCGGTCATCACTCTAACTCTTGACCTTGGGAAATCATTAACTTGATTTTTAACAGGATAAGTTAATTTTGCCTCTATACAAACTTTTTAAAGAATATATCTTTTCCATTTTTTACTGAGATGTCTGTGTGATCAATTCAGGTATACTTTTTCTGAGTGTATATTCACATTTTGAAGTAAAATTTCCAAGTCTCTGAAATGTTTACACTTAGCTTAAGTAGATACATCTAGGTAGTCTCCCAAAGTTCTGATTTACACTCACATTTACTCACAAGAGTTCCAGTTACTCCACACTCTTGCCAGCATTTGTTGTCCTCCATCTTGCCTCATCGCAGCTGAATAGGACCAGCATTATTAATTGAAGTGAACAGTCAAATGTGTAGAGTTATCTCATTGTGGTTCAAACAACCATTTGTCCAATGACTAGTGAGATTAAATATCTTTTTATATTTTCTAACCACTAAGTGGCCATTTAGGCACACATTTTATAAAATTTCTTTTCAGATATTTTGCCCATTTCTTTATTGGATTGTCTTTTTCTTACTGATTTGTAGGTGTTCTTTATGCTTCTATTTACATGTCTCTTTTTTACTTGCTCAATTTGCATGCTAAGTAAATAACCCAAGAAGCTGGACTATATGAAGAAGAACATGCATCAGAATTAGAGGGAGATTAATAAACAACCTATGATACACAGATAACATAACCTTGCTTGCTGAAAATTAAGAGAACTTGAAGCACTAACTGGTGGAGTTCAAAGATTACAGACTTTGGTATGGCTTACAGCTCATTAAAAATAAAACTTAAATACTCGCAAATGAGGCAATAAATATCACCATGATAAACAGAGAACAGAGAATGAAGTTGTCAAAAGTTTCATTTTACTTACACCCACTATAAATGTCTTTTGAAGTACTAGTCAACAAATAAAATGAATGTGTAACTTTGGTAAAATTTGTTTCAAAAAGATATTTCTAAAGTGTTAAAAAAATCAAAGATGTCACTTTGAGGACTTGTTCTCATTGTTGTCATATTTCATCAAGTTACCTGGGACTCATAGCAACCCTATGCACAATTGCTCTGAACCTTGCCCTATTCTGAGCCAATCTCATAGTCTCCAACACACCTACACCCTTACCACAGTTACTGAGTTAATCCATCTCATGCAGGGTCTTCCTCTTTTGCATTGGCCCTCCAGCCTTCCATGCATGATGTTCTTTTTCCAGGAGTGGTCCCTCCTGGCAACATGCCCAAAGCATGTCACATGGGGCTTCAAAATCCTTGCCTTCAATGAGTAACTTGGCTCTACCCTTTCCAGGAGAGACATGTTTGTTCTCTTGGCAGTCCATGGTATGCTCAGTACTCTTCTAAGTGCACCTGATTCAAAGTATTGGGAGCTCTGGTGGCTTAATGGTAAGGAATTGTGCGGCCAACTAAAACGTACATGGTTCAAATCCACTAGTTGCTCTGCAGAAGAAAGATGGGTAATTTCTTCCTATGCAATTAATTGACTCTGAAAACTCACTGGAGGCTCAACTCTGAGTGAGTTCTGATTCAATAAAACACAGCAACAACTCAAATGAAAGTATTTTTAACCATTTCCGTATGGAGCTCTGTTAGCCTAGAATGTAAAGAGTCGTACTGCTAATACAAATGATACATCTCTGGCATGTAAAATCCACCGATGGCTCCACAAGAGGTTAAGTGTTCTTCTGTAGTGCTACTTACAGGTTCAGAAAATGCACTGGAGCTTCAGCTACAAGTAGATTTTTACTCAAAGACCAATCAGAGTTTCATATGCATGTGAAAGCAGGATAATTATGGGAAGATCGAAGAAGTGTTGATGTATTTTATTTATAGTGTTAATAAAGAATATCAAATAGTCTACCAGAAGAATAAACAAATCTGTTTCGGAAGAATTACAGTCATAATGTTCCTTAGAAGTGAGGATGGTGAGAAATTCTCACACTTACTTTTGACATGTCATCAGGACGGATCAGTTCCTGGAGAAGAGCATGTTATTTACTAAAATTGAGAGCCAATGATAAAGAAGGCCCCCAGAGAGATGGATTGACAGAATGACAACAATAAACTCCAAGTTAGCAATGATTGTGAGGATGGTACAGGACCAGACAGCATTTTGTACCCTTATAGGATCATTCACTATGAGCTGGTGCCCTTTTGACTGCACTTAACAAAAAATACCTAATAAAAAGTAAAATTAAAAGATAAGATAAATTGTCTTTTCAAGTCTGTCTCAACTTGTTTCAAGGAGTTCTCAATTTTGACTATAGGTTGGGCAATATCTGAAAATTAGTGCTAACTGGATCTCACCCTCAAACCAAAGTAGTCAGAATTTCTGGAAGGGAGTTACGTATCAGTACATTTTGAAGATAACCCAGGAAAATATAACACAAAGCTAGACTTGAGAACTGCTGAGTTTATGACCAAATGTGCAAATAAAAATGACAATTATAGTAGTACAAAAAAAAAAGGAAAAGTTTATGGTCAGTACTACACATCAGTTTATAACATAGCATCCTCAGAGTCGAGTGATGGTCTCCTTTCTGGCCCAATCCTGGATTTTTGCTTTTCCAAACCTGAGGTAGAAGACCAGACCAAACATGTTGACAGCTGCTGACAGAAAAAAGACTTTCCTCCATCCAGACTCAGAATTCTAGAGACAAAACAAAACCATAGAATCATTTTCTTTATCCCTAGATCCTTCTCTACCAATTAAGAAAATTATGTTTTGTCTATTGTAGCACTGACCACAAAGACTAGAAGGAAAAGCATACTTGTCACTAAACATCTGAAGTCAACAAAGATTGTCTTAGTCAACATTTGGTTGAAAATAAAATGGCTTTAACTTATATTACTGGTTTTCTAGAAATCTGGATCTCAACATTCATGAAAGTAATGAGTTATTTATATGAAGTTCTGCCTAAAATAGTATCTGATGATCTTACTTTAGTATTTTATTTTTGTTTACTTTTGGCTTGATTGTTAGCATCAATCACAGTAACCCCTTAAATGAAAACCTCAGTACAACCTGAGCTATATTTGTCTGCCTGTGTGATCTTCCTCACTAGGCCTAGAGTTCACACTGCTAGGATGTGCTAGCATGTTCATTTATAACATTATATTCACAGAGAATTCCTAGGGATATGATCAATAATTAACTCTGAAATTATATTATATATAGACATATCTAAAACAAACGAAAACTTTTCTATGTAATACTCATCAGTCTTTTTATCCTATCCTGTTCTGTCAACTTTCTCACCAACCTACTACACTCTGAGAAAGCTTCATTTCTATGTTACACACAGTATCACATAGCCTTTCTCTTTTAACCCAAAATTTATGACCTTGGGACATCTTGTATTTCTTTCCTTTTTTTTTTTTAAGTTGGAAATAACCTCAGAAGATTTTTCATCATGTTCCATTTCTGCCTGTCATCATTTTTCACCACTCCTGGATATGCATGATTTACTGTGATCATAACTGAGAATTTTTTCTTATGTTCTTTTCTATATCTCTAGGATATCATACATTCTGTCTTCTGTACTCAATCAGTTTAACAAATCTGACATATATAATCATTTTTGGAAATTGAGTTTATATATTTTTTTCCTTCATCTGAGAATGAAATTTTCTTAACCTGGGAAATGTGACCTACTACAGTTTGATTGAAAAGCCCTTGTGAATAACATAATTGTGTTACATACATGATTGTATTCTCCCATGAGACCATAGAGTCCCTGAGAATCGAAGGTCTTCAATGTCTCTAAAACAATATCTGCCACTTGCATTGATTCAATAAACTGGACCCAACCTGACTGATAAGGAATCCAGTGGCAGTGGAAGAGATGATTCCCGCCATGAGCCCAAATCCTCTTGAGATTCCCATAAGAAAACTTGAATATCTGTGGAGAGATATTTTCATATAGAATAATATTAATTTATTAATAACATTTGTAGTTATTAAAAACCAATGTAACTTGGCTGTAATGGCAATGTAATTTTCAGAATTAGTGAACAATTCAGAAGTTATTGAAATTAGTCAGAAATTAGGGAATAATCCGCTCTCTCTGCAAGCCAAAGTCTCCACTCTGGGCCCTCAACATGGAAGACAGTTAGCAGTGGACAAGACACAGGCTCTAGACTTAAATTGCCTGAGCCCAGATTCTGACTCTGCCACTGAAGCCCTTTAGGGAAGCAACTTCACCTTCTGATATTTCAGTTTTCTGTAAAATGGGGCTATCATTCGAACCTACCTGGAGATGTAAGGATTAAATGTGTTTATATATGAGAAATCTTTATATATATAAGAAGTTTGGTTCATGGTGAGTACATAAATATATAGTAACTAGTATTACCAACCTTTTCAAATCTTTTTTTTTTCCGAATCTTTCCTAAAACATCTTTGTGTGAGGCTTCTGTTTTTTTTTTGTTGTAGAGTTGTTGTTTTTTTATTTTTGTGTTGTATTGGGTTGTTTGTTTTTTTGGGTTTTTTCTTTCTCTCTAAGAACACACAGTACAATCTATGTTGAGATATGATGGGAATCTTTTGATCTAGACAAGATTGGGAAATGCTTTTTGAAATTGTTTTAGGTTCTTGCTACATGCTGATAAGTCAAGACATTCAACACTCTATCATCTCTTGTTGTCACTATTTTTGTCATGTCCTTTCGAGTTGGATCTAACTTATAGATCCAACTTATAACCCCAGGGGGGTTTCAGAGTCTGCAAATTGCATGGGAGGATATTACCTATGTGGTGGATCCAAACCATGTGCCTTTGTGTTGTCAGCTCAATTCATTACGAGTAAATCATCAGCGCTCCCTCTACCAGCATTTTGTGAATGTCAATAACAAAAAGAAGTTTCAAGAAGAAAGCTGAGATTTAACATCTCTGGAAGGGTTTTAAGGATAGAAAAACAGGTAAACTGCTTACCTGGGGGCAATATCTAAAGTGTTGATTATAAACCCTGAGTCACATAGGTTGCTGGTCCCAGGAATAAGTATCAGCAAGGTAATGGTTGTCATGTAACTGGAAGTCACAAAGGGCAAGGCCATAGCACAGATGGATGGAAGCAGGAGCCCTGGGCAATGAGGACACGCCATCAAGAACCCTCTTAAACCACACGTGGAAAAATAGATTGGTTAACCAGGCCCATGGGCCTATCCTTACCTAGGGATGAAAAGAGTTTTCGCACAGTGATTAATCTGAGAAGATTTCTGGATAGAAGGAAATCTGCCAACTGACCTCCTAGTATCGTACAGCTTGAGGCAGCAATAAAAGGCAAGGAGGACAGAACTCCACTCTGAAGGAAGGAAAATTAAATAGTAAGTAATTATAGAGGTGCATATGGCACCAAAATGTATCAGTTGCATAGATTAATCATTAGCCCATTACTGGCTTTCTGGGTCATTGTAGCTAATTAGCATCCTTTTCCATACTAGAAGAAAACTGTCTCAGGTAAGAAGGCCAGTGCCTGAATCACACTGATCCTAGAGAAAAACAATATTTACTTCCAAAAGTGACTGAAGAATTGAGTGGTAAGACCAAGTAGCATAGTAGTTAACACAGATCTTGGAGCAATTCTAAAGTTTAATAACTGTGTAATACAGGACAAGCCCTTTTACCACTTTTTGTATTTATTAGTATACTTGTGCAATAGGTGAGATAAATACAGTGAGATGAACATGCTTTCTCCAAACTACTGTGAGCATTAAGTGAATGGTTATTTACAAAGCATATATAGATCAGTGATCAGAATAGAGTAAGTAGCATAGAGCTGTGTCTCCTTACTACCATAATTTTTTTCCCCTTCTGGAAGTGTAAGACATATACTTACATCTCTAATGTTTACATGGAGTACAGAACTGATGTACGTTGGCAGGTATGTTATGATTATGGTGCATAACCAGAAATGGCTGAAAAACCCCAGGAAAATGGCCCACAGTGGTAGACATCTGGCCATAGCCCTCATTGGAATGGATCGTCTAGAAGAACTGGACTGAAAGGAAGCATCTAATCAGCCTGAGTACCGCAATAGACCAGAGATCATCTCTTTCTGGCCTTGTTCTAGTGATCTCAGTATGAGTCACAGGTAGAAAGGATGCACTATACCTGGTGAGCTAGTGAGGACACAATGTGTTCCTTTTCCCCAGCACTAATGCATGGATGATGTATGGGATCATCATAAATCACCATGAACCACAGAAGACAGCAGACACAGCCACTGCTACCTGGAAGGAAAAGATTCAATTAGTTTTCTGATAGATTTGTGTTTGGGGAAAAGAGATTTCCTCTGAAATGTCATACCTGTTCCCTGCAAAAATACACATCAGTTTATAGTAACTACACTTATATTTTCATATTTCTTCCTTTCAACTCTTGAATAAATTCTCTTGTTATCATTAAAGCTTTCTAGACATCACCTCGAAAATGTAGGAGTCTAAAGTAGTTCAGTGTTAAAGTCATCTTGAAATAACATGAGGATGAACATATTTCATAGTGTGGACCAAAATGATCTGAGCTTAGCATCATTGACGGTAAAACCACTTAAGCCTTTGAGTGGTGTTGGTATAGAATACTAACTACTGCATAGATTTCCAAAAGAACAAATAAACATGTCTTTGATGAAGTGTAACCATGGTGCACGCCTTTCACTAGAGGCAAGGAAAGTCAAACCTCATCTCATATACTTTTGGTATATTATCATGAGGGGCCAGTCCTTGGAAAAAGACATCATGCTGGGGAAAGTAGAAGTACTAAGAAAGAGAGGACAGCTCTCAACCAGATAGATTGATTTAGTGACTGTAACAATGGACTGGAGCTTGGTAGAGATCTTGAGGGATACCACAGGATTGGGTAAGATTCCAATCTGTTATTCATAGGGTCCCTATGACTCTCAGTCAACTTAATAGCACCTAACAACAAACCAGAATCATATTTAATGGCCCAATTTTATATAATAAAAGAACAGTCAAATCAAGAGAGATTTGTCTAATTTCTAGGATTTATTAATTTAAGAAGAGTCTACATTAAGATGCTAGGTGGTTGTTGTTAATTGCTGTTGAGTCAAGCATGACTCCTAGTGACCTTATGAACAAAAGACCTGAGCCTTTTCTATAACTACTGTTATTTATCAAAGTTCATAGAGTTTATAGAGGCATGTTTAGGAAGTGGATGCCACTCTTGCTTCCAAAACTGTCTTAAACTGGAAGCTCCACCAAACTCTGTCCACCATGGGTAACCATTTTGCCATTTGACACCCCAGTGGCACAAGGTTCAGCATCACAGCAACCCCAGGTTATCTTAGTAGAGCATATTGACGGAAGAGTGCTGTACCACTTAGAAGAATGTTCTTACAAAATATAACAACAACCAACTTTTCAGTACAAAGTCCTCCCTGAGGTCTTATTGACTAAACAAAAGGCTTAAATTTAAAAAAAAAATCAGTATAGTATGTTGTTGTTATATGACGTCAAGTAGCCTCCAACTTCTAACGACCCTTTGTACAGCAGCTGTGAACCCTTCCCTGTTCTGAGCCAGACTCACTAATTCCGACACACCAAACCCTATTGACCCAGGTACTGTATCAAACCATCTCATCCAGGGTCTTCCTCTCCTGCACTGTCCCTCCACCCTTCCGAGCTGATGTCCTTCTGTAAGGATCTGTCTCTCTTGGCTGCATGCCCAAAGTACGAGAGATGGTGCTTCAGAATCCTAGTCTCCAAGGAGAGACTTGGTTTCACCCTCTTTGAGACAGACTTACGTGTTTTCTTGGCAGTCCATGGTATGTTCAAGACTCTTCTCCAGCAATTCAAAGACTCTTCTCCACAACTCAAAGGTATCTTCTTTTGTCATCCTTAGTCATTGTCTATCTCTCTGTTGGTTTAACAGGTAATTGCAAAGATTGTGGCCTGGATTAGGCTCACCTTTGTCTCTAGACTGACAACATTGCTTTTCAGCTCTCTGGAGAGGTCCCAGACAGCATATTTTCCCAATGCAATTCGTCTTTTTATTTTCTGACTGCTGGTATTAAAAGAATGTTGATTGTGGAGCCAAGCAAGCTGTAATTGTTAACAACCTCAATCTCTTCTCCATCTATCATGATTCTGCGAATTGGCCCAGTGGTGAGACTCTTTGTCTTCTTGATGTTGCACTTCAATCTATATTGAAGACTACAGTCCTTGACTTTCTGCAGCAAGAGCTTCAGGTCTTTGTCAGTTTCAGCAAAAAAGGTTGTGTGCATTTGCATATTACAGGTTGTTGATGAGGCTTCCTCTAATCTTGATGCTACACTCTCCTCATAAAGCCCTGTTTCCCAAATAATCTGTTCTACATATAAATTGAAAAGGCATGGGGACAGGATGCATCCCTCACATCTTCCTTTCCTGATTTTGAGCCATGCAGTGTTTCCTTTGTTGTGAGGACTGTTTCTTGGGCCAAGTATAAGTTTCACATAAGCACAATCAACTGTTTTGGGATTCTCATTTTCCTCAAGGCTAGTCACAATTTGTTGTGAACCATACAGTCAAAGGCCTTTGCATAGTCAATGAAACACAGATAGACATTTTTCTGGTACTCTCTGCGTTCTGCCAAGTTCCATCTGACATTGGTAATCATGATTTTAGTGCCATAACCTCTTTAAAATCCAGCTTGTATTTCTGGTAGTCCTCTGTCAATGTACTGTTCCAGTCATTTCCATGGCTTAAAGTATTTATTTTTTCTCTAAGACAAAGAAAAGTATCCCAATGAAATGTGCAAGGAGCTATAGTCAGAAAATCAAAAGGGCCAAACTCACTCAATATTTCTTAAGCTGAAGGAACTGAAGAAGAAAGTCAAACATTTGGTTGCAATACTTAAGGATGTTTTGGGCAGAATAGTAAATGATCCAGGAAGTATTTAAGAAGATGGAAAGAGTTTATAAAGTCATTGTACCAAAAGGAATTGGTGGACACAGAAGAACTTCATGAAACAACATATGAGTAAGAGCCTATGTTGATGAAGGAAGAAGTTCAAGCTGTTCTGAAAGAATTGGCAAAAAACAAGGTCCTAGGAATTGATGGCGTACCAATTGACATATTTCAACAAAGAGATGCAGCCCTGGATGTGCTCACCAAGTTGTGCCAAGAAATCTGGAGGACAACCACCTGGTTAACTGACTGGAGGAGATCTATATTTGTTTTCATTCCAAAGAAAGGTGATCCAACAGAGTGTGGAAATTATCAAACAGTATTATTGATATCGCGTGCAAGCAAAATTCTGCATAAGATTATACCAAAGTGACTGGAACAGCACATCAAAAGAAGTGCAGGCTGGATTTCAAAGAGGCCATGGCACTAGGGATATTATAGCTAATGTCAGATGGATCTTGGCTGAGAGTAGAGTACCAGAAGAATGTCTATCTGTGTTTCATTGACTATGCAATGACATTTAACTATGTGGATCACAACAACCTGTGGCTAACTCTGAGAAGAATTAAGAACACTTAATTGTGTTTATGTGAAACCTGTACTTGGATCAGGAGGCAGTCATCAGAACAAAGCAAGGAAAGACTGTATGGTTCAAAATTGAGAAGGGTTTGTGTCAAGAATGTGTCCTATCTCCATATCTTTTCAATCTATATGCATAACAGATATTCCAGGAGGTTGGGCTCTATGAGGAAAATTATGGCATCAGGATTGGAGGAAGAATCATCAACAATCTGCATTATGCATATGATACAACCCTGATTGCTGAAAATGAGGAAGATCTGAAGTACTTGCTGCTGAAGGTCAAGGACTGCAGCCTTCAATGTGTATTGAAGCTCAACATCAAGAAAACAAAGATTCTCACTACTGGGCCAACTGGCAGCATCATGATAGATGGTAAAGAGATTGAGATTGTTAACAGCTTCAGTTTACTTGGCTCCACAATCCACACTCTTGGTACCAGCAGTCGGGAAATTAAAAGACAAATTGCACTGGGAAAGTCTGCTGTCAGAGACCTCTCCAAAGTACTGAAGAGCAACAATGTCAGTCTGGAGATTAAGGTGTGCCTGATACAGGCCATGGTCTTTGCAATTACTTACTATACATGAGAAAGCTCGACAATGACTAGAGATGATAGGAGAGTTGATGTCTTTGAGCTGTGGTGCTGAAGAAGATTATTGAATATACCAGGGACTGCTAGGAGAAGAAATAAGTTTGTCCTGGAGAGGGTGAAGGCAGGCTGCTCCTTGGAGGCAAGGATTCTGAAGCTTCATCTGACATACTTTGGACATGTTTCAAGGTGGAATCAGTCCTTAGAGAGGGATGTCATGCTTGGGAGGGTGGTGGGACAGTGTAGGAGAAGAAGACCGTTGATGAGATGCATTGATTCAGTCACTTGGGTAATGGGGATGTCAGAGACAGTGAGATTGACAAGGGATAGACCAGAGTTTAGGGCATTGGACATAGGGTCGCTATATGACTTTCAGGTGACTCGATGGAACATAACAACAACAATTTACTGGTTCCCTTTATTATTTTAGTTTAAAAGTAAGATTCAGATATTGTGATAGACATTAAAATTATTTAAAGCAAAACAAAACATTATAAAATGTATTCTTTGCCCCCTACACATCACAACTCTTATTTCGTCAATAAATGTGCTTCTGGATTACTGTTGTTGTTAAGTGTCATCAAGTTAACTATGACTTATAGTGACCCGATGAATAACAGATCTGAACTTGGCCCTCTCCTGCACTATCCTCACAGTCTCTGCCAAGCTCACACCTATTGTTACAGTCACTGTGCCAATCCACCTTGTTGAGGGTTATCTTCTCTTTCTCAGAACCTCTACCTTTTCCCTATTGCAAAAGGTAACAAATAATCACAAACCAATGTGTCTTAGCGAGAAAAAAAAAATAGCAGGAAGCAGCAGAGAGGACAGAATGTGATGGGACAAGTTCTGGAAATTTTGCTAGGAAATGAGAACATTTGAATTTACCATTACGTTATTCACCAAATAAAGAATAAGGTTAAGGCCACTTTAAGGCAGAAATAACACATGTAATGGAATGCAAAGACACACAGCAGGTAGTCTTCGTTAACTTTGATAAGGCATTTCAAGCATCATGATAAAGGTTCTACATATGCTTGGAGTAGGATGTAAGTTTGCACTCCTGATTTTTCCAAAGTCAGAACTATGTGTGCAGTCATCATACCTGCCCTGCCCCACAACACAATGCTGTCCAAAACCACCAGCACAATGTTAAATCAAATTGTATGGACTAGAATATCGATCCTCAATATGTATGAATATCTCCCACAAGAAACATTTTCTCTTACACATGAGAAGAATGTGGGGAATAAAGACATCAAAATTCACATCTAGAAATGAAATTATTAAACCTTGAAATAAACTCACCAAAAATATAGAAAATGAAAGGCCAGCCCAAAACTTGGCAAATTAGTCCCCCTACACACAGGATGATGAAGGATCCAAATGCTACCCCTAATGAGAAGGGAGAGAAGAAAAAGAAGATAATTTGCATCAATACCAAATCTGAGACTGAATGACATTCCTGGCATGGTCCTCACACTAAAGTGTCACACTTAGACTGGCTGGGTGATGGTATTTTTTTTCCTTCATGATCTTCCCCAGAAAAACTATATAATGTTACTAGGTTAATGGGTAATATGTGCCTGCCTCTTCAATGACTCCTCAACACCAGTGTGACCAAATCCAATGTCCTTAGCTTGTCACAGATACTTTCAACAATGACAAAAAGAAAATCAAACTAAGTGTTATAAAGTCAGTTTTAACTTCTAGCAGCAATTCTATGTGCTGTAGAGAAGAACTATTCTGAAGGATTTTCATGGCTACAATATTTGAAGCAGAATATAGGGTCTTTCTTCCATGGTGCCAGTGGGTGGGTATAAATGGTCAACCTTTAGGTTAATAGTCAAGGTCAAGGCATTAACATTACCCAGTTGTGGCATAGTCCATAGGGAGTTGTGCTGCTAACCTAAATGTTTTGTCTCTCTGATGATTCCAATCCACCAGCAACTCTAAAGAAAAAAGACAAACCATCTCCTCCCATATCATTTATAGCCTCAGAAACCCAGCAAAGTAGATTCCATCTCAAAGGCAATGAAAGATAGTGCAGTGGCAACCTGTCTGAATAGAATTCTTTTAGGATTAGAATTACATTCCGTCAGGAAACAATCTGAATTTGAGAGAAGGAAAGAAAGACATAAAAATTAATAAGATAAAATCACTGCCCTGAAGGCATAGTCATTCCAGTTGGAAAGAAAAAAGGTAACCAAATTCACTAGTACAAGTACATGGACACATTTTATAAGAACTCAGAGTAAGACATGCAACTTACATGGTAACACAACCCACAAATACATATAAATGTTTGCACACAAATCTATACATACATTCACATGGCTCACAGAAAAATATTTTCACTTACTATATGTAATATGTGCTAATATTCTATTATTTTCTATTTAATTTCATTAAATACTGATTCTGACCCACCAAATTGATTTTATGACCTTCTAGTTGCTAACGGCTGCATGGCACTTAACAACATAGAGAGAGACCAGTTGGCCTAGTGGACCGAAAGCGATGCAATCAAGCCAAAGGTGGGTGACTCTAATCCGCGGCCCTAAAGCTTGTCTTTAATTGTTTTTAGTGAAACATTCTTCTAGGTCGTGTGTCCCTGGTGTGTCCACTTGCTATACAGAGGTAACTTGTGGTCGCTATGAAGCTGAACACTGTGACACTGAAGTGTCAAATGCGATAATGGTTACCCATGATGGACAGTGTTTGGTGGCGCTCTCCGGTTAAAACAAGCTTGGAAGCAGGAGTGGCATCCACTTCCGTAAATAGCTTGCCTCCGGAAACCCTACGAATTTGGAGAAAGGATGAAAGTCACGCAAGTGTCGAGGACTTTCGTACACCGGGTCGCTATGAGTTGCCTACGACTCAACGGCACTTAAAAACACAGCAACAACAATGGGTCCTAACCTGAAATTTATGAAAACAAAGAAGTTTAGAATATAGATATGAGAACAAAATTAAAATATGTCACCAAATATGTAAACTATAGAATTATACATGATGACAAATTCATAACACTTCTAAGATTTAGAAATTATTTCTATGACCTAACCATTATAGTGGATAGAATTTTGGTAAGAAGATCTGGGAGTCAGGTACTTTTCAAAAATATAAGCCAGAGATCAGAGAAAATTTAAGTGTACATACAGGAGGTGGGAGAGGCTGGTGAGATCAGAATCACTTGTGGTCATTCATGCTTCTGAACTTCAGTGACTTATGACATAGGTTTATCTTTTTTAACTGGCCATAGGGGGTGAGTTGATTGCATTTGACCTCCTGTTTAAAAATGCATTTGGACCCTTGGGCCTGTGGCCCTTAGGTCTGGTTTTAATTATTTTTGGTCAAACATTCTTCTAAGTGGTATATAACTGGAATGTCCACTTGCTATAAATAGGTAACTCGTGGTTGCTGTGATGTTAAACACTGTGACACTGGCGTGTCAAATGTGATAATGGTTACTCATGGTGGATAGTGTTTGGTGGAGCTCCCTGATTAAAACAAGCTTGGAAGAAAAAGTGGCATCCACTTCCAAAATAGCTTGCCTCCAGAAACTCTATGAACTTGGAGAAACGATGAAAGTTATACAAGTGTTCAGGTCTTTCGTTCATAGGGTCTCTATGAATCATCTATGACTAGATGGCATTTAACAACAACAACAGCCTATGTCATGTAGCCATTTTACATTGTAGATTGTTCAGACAGTATTTTTCTCCCTCTGCCTCAAACCACCCAATACAGAGAGAGTTGTGGTAGTAATACAGGACGTTACAAGACTGTGACCTGTTTTTGCAACCTCACCTGATCCTGCAATGCTGGTGAGCTTGCTTCGTTCCAATGGCGGAGCCCATTTTGCCCAAATTGTAAACTGACCTGTCCATGCCATTCCCTGAAATGAAAATCAGTAATAAGTTGATCATTAGTAGAAATCTGAAATCTTTATTATAGTCAGAATAAAAAAAAATATCTAGATACCTGGGCCATGCCCTGTACTGTTCGAAGCACAATAACAAAGGTCACTCCAAAGCTGGCAGCCAATGGTATAAAGAGGGTGAGAAGAGAAGAGATCAGTAAACCAGCACCAAGAATATGCTTTGCTCCAAATATTCCTGCTAAATATCCACTTGGGATCAGAGTCAACATTATCCCATAATTGATGGAGCTAAAGATGATACCCTGAGTTTCCGGACTCCATTTGTAAACAGAGGCCTGAGGGAGGAAAGAAGAATAAATTTAACACTTGGCTAAGAAGTCCTTTTATGAAAATTTACTTTCAAATAAGAGTTGCCTAGGGTTGATATAACCTATTATACCAAATTTTGACTTTAAAAATTTTTTAACCTAAATACTTAAATGCACTATATTTTTTTTAAAAAAAAATCTAATTACACTTTTAATTTGTACCTTTCAGAGTAAGCTAAAAGTAGAGGAAAATAAAAAGATAATACAAATAAAATTATGATGTGGTTGGATAACAGGGGGAAGCAAGCCAAAGAAGATATTGAGAGATGCTTCATAACTATTTATCCTTCTTGGAAAATGTGAATGACATAATTACTTTCATTATAAATAACATAATAAACACTATGAATTTTTACCTAGAAAAAAATCAGTCCTTAATTAAAAACAATCACATTTGAGAATATTAGGTTATCCTGGAAGAATTGACTTACTAAGATATATGTTGCAAATGAATAAGATCATATTCTCCTTCTGATATAACTCAGTAAAATATTTTTAGTGGCCTCCTAGATATATTTTCATATATGCTGGAGGTTTAAATAGAAAGCCAAAGAGTATATTTTATTCATGTACAGAAATAGTTCCATATATGTGTTTCTAACAAACTAAAGGCTTTATGACACATATAGGTAAAATGTGTTTAAAAACTAAAATTCATTGCTACTCATTTGGAATCAGCTCATAGCTACACCTCCAATGAGTTTTCAGAGACTGTAAATCAAACAGGAGAAAATTGCCCATCTCTTTGCCTTAGAGCAGCTCATGGGTTTGAACCACATACATTTGGGTTGACAGTGAATTCCTTACTCACAGAAGGACTTTGGGAAAAGTGAAGACTAATTTGGGAAGAATCCTGGAAGGAAGCAATATTTGAACTATCCTTTTAATAATGTCTATGATGTGTCTAAATTGAAAAAAGAAAAAAGTCACCCTCATTGGAGAAAACAGGAAAAGCGAACAATGATGCTATAAAATCAGAAACTAATAGGAACTCTTACCCAGGGAAAAGACTTTCTTTGGGCCAATGAGAGCAGATATGATTATGATAGGAAGTGTGGGTCAGATGCTGGAAGAACATAGCATGCTGTAAGAGTTTGACAACTGGAAGGTGTCCCAGATTTCTAAGTACAAGAATTTGACTGTTTAGAATGATGATGATGATGGAAAGAAAACTGGAGACAGGGAGGTCATCCTAAATTAACTTGGGTCAAAGATAATAAAAACAAAATTATAGAGCTAACACTGGAAATATGTACTAAATAATAGTTTAAAGAATAACTTTTAAATGAGAGATAATCATAGTCCTCAAATAACAATAAAATAAACACAACAAAGATTTTACTGAATTTGTTGATTAATTAGGAAATCACTAATATTTTTACAACTAGTACAAAGGAGAATTCTAAGAACTAGGCACATACATGCAGCTTAATCAACCATGTGTTTTTTGAGAAGTTGAGGGGAAGGTGGAAATCAATTGATTTTCTAGGAGACATACATCATTGACAAGGCTACCAACAACATTGATTTACACCATTCTTAATTATATACAGTCTGTAGAGTTGTAAGGTAGTTCAAAGGCAATTTAAGACATAAGATTTCCCACAGAATCTGATTACCCAGAAGTATGTTCTTAGACAATGTTTTGATTTCTATTGATAATATCCAGTAATTGGTTTGGTCAATTTCAGAAAGTTAATCTTCACTCTTATACTACTCCCATCTTGTGCTCATAACAATATCAAAGAAAAATTCTTTTTATCATAGATATAAGTAGTGTCTCCAAGAAAAAGAAACCTATTTTTTTTAGCTTAATCACTGTAAATTTGTGGTTTTATACTCTGCAGACTAGACTTGAGTCTTCCTTTTAAACAGATTTTTCTTCTCTATGTAAAACTACCTGCTAATATCAAGCTTACCCCTGTATTAAATTCCTTGATAGATGTGCTGCAATTACTTGCAGTGTCTTCAAGTGGTCTCTCTGCGGAGAAGTTAGATATATTGTACTGCTCAGTGTTGTTCACCATGGCGACAATTGCAATGCTCAGACTCACTCGCTGGGTTATCATGGTGAAGTTTGAGAAGTGCATGATGAAAGCCAGTCCATAGCGTAATGAGCAGAAACCTGGACCTACAGAACAACACAGAAATAGACAATGATCATCTAGACTGAGACACATTTCTTCCATGGTTAAATCCAAAAGAATATCAAATGATTTGACATAGTCTTATAGTCTTTTTTTTTTTAAATTTTTTTCACCAGCGTGACTGCAAACTTCCTTTGTTACATGTATTTTGTTGGCTTTTAAAGAAGGGGAAATAAAGTCTTCTTTCAGAGATGTGTAAAGCATATAATAGAGAAATATCTACATGTAAGGTATGTAGGTTATATTACTCCCAATTAAAATAGCAGCAGAGCCAGTCACAAACCTCATGTCTCCCAGTTGCAAGTCAGTGGTCTTATTCACTATAAACATCAATTTATCACAGAATCGGAGATTTAATTTTATTTTTTTTTTTTACTTAGATGCTTTTCCTTGAGCTATCTACCAGATGCTTCACAGAAGGATGGGCAATTTCCTCCTATCCAATTAACTGCCTCTAAAAAACCTGCTGAGAGTCAGCTATGGTTCACTTCTGACTTGATGGTACACAATAACAACCACAAGTTATATGTTGAAGGGCTTTCTAAAAATAATTGAAAGATAGCATGGTATGGGAGAAATTATCAATAACTCCTTAGTGTGACAATTATCTGGGAATATCTCAGTTGTGTGTTCCAAGGCTTTACTCTCAAATAGTCACTTATATTTTATTTTTCACTTGTTTGCTTTTCTTTAAAAACAGTGGATAATCATTTCCACTACATTTGTAGTCAGCATGATGGAAAAGATGCAGACAATGAATTATAATAGTAAAGAGTTGTTGTTGATTGCCATTGAGTCAAGCACAATTCCTAACGACCCTATGAACATAAGGCCTGAAGCCTTTCTGTAATTATCGTCATTTATCAAAGTTCATGGAGAAAAAAGTGAAAATTCCTACGAAGTAGTACCCAAACCTGATACCGTTAAGTTGATTTCTGCTAACAGCAACCCTGTAGATTAGATTAGATGTAGATTTTCAAGACTGTACATTTTTACAGAAGTAAACTGCCTCATCTTTCTCCCTCAAAACAGCTAGTAGATTCCAACTTCAACATTTTAGTTATTAGACCACAGTTTAATACATTGCACCAAAACAGTATGTTGTTGTGTGTCCTCAATGCGTCTTTAGGCCACTACCACTCCCTTTGATATTACTCTAGGTTTCCAAACTTAATGAAATAACTAGCCATTTAGCAAAATATTATAGCAAAAATTTGTGCATAATTTGGGAGTATATTTAAAGTGTGTTTTGATATAGAATCTTGGCACTAGCAGTTAGAAAATCAAAAGACAAATTGCATTGGGAAAAATCTGTCAGGGACCTCTCCAGAGTACTGAGGAACAAAAATGTTAGTGTAGAGAGTAAAGTACATTTAATCCAGGCCATTGTCTTTGCATTTACTTTCCATGCATCAGAGAGCTGGACAAAGACTAAAAATTACAGAAGAATTGATGCCTTTGTTAGAGAAGAGTATTGAACATACAATGGACCATGACAAGAATAAACTGGTCTGTCTTAGAGAAGTTAAACCAAGTTTCTCCTTAAATAGGATTTTGATGTATTGTCTCATATATTTTGGGCATGTGGCCAAGAGACCAGCCCTTGGAGAAAGAAATCATACTTGAAAGGGTAGAGGGACAGCACAGGAGAGGAAGACCCTGATAAGACAGAGTGACACAATAACTGAGGTAATAGGCACAGATGTGCCAGAGTCAGTGAAATTAGCTAAGGATAGGGCAGGCTTCAAACCTGTTATATGTAAGATTCCTATGAGCAGCTGGCCACTTGATGGCACATAATAACAACAAGGCAAAGGTAATAGGTAACTATAATCCACCAAGATCTTTGGTTGGGGGCTTATTCTGTTCTTAGCGTGAGACAGACTCTATCAAGTGGTGGCACAAAGAAAAAGGTAGAAGTGAAGAGTAAGGATGTGTAAAAACACTGAAAATACCTTTGACTTTTTCTTAGTATAGCAGGCAAATATGAGATGACATTACCTTTCTTGGTAGAAGGCTTCTCATCCATTTGGCTTCTCTGGGAAATGGTATCACACTTGGTAGTAGAATTTCCCTCTACCCTGATTCACGTTTACCACAAAAGTTTTTTATCTATGAAGAGAATATTATCCAAACAATAATGTACAATCTTCTCTTATTAATATTGTCTCATCTCAGCATCAGCCAAAATTTTTACTCAATTTTATGAAATTATGTTTACTGTGTATTTATTTATTAAGCTTTCAGAAGACAAGATACCTATACATGCACACAAATGGCTTTATTGTGATTCTATTGTAGTTCATAATTCATTTTCTCATCTGTGAATTAAATATAATGTTTCTTCCTTAAAAGTACTACAGGAATTTAATAAGACACTTATTAAGTGCTTTATAAAACCATAGAGAATCAAACAAATATAAGAAGTTTTCTGGTTTGTATATAAGACATCAGAAGATGAAACAGTTAAATTAAACCCAAGAGCTAAAAAAGAAGTGTTCAAGAGCAACATTTTCTTTCATTTCCAATCAATCAAGCTAAGACTTGTGTCTCATTTGTACAACCACAACAATGTCCCATAATGTCCTCTTTAAAGGCAAAGAATGGCAGTGCGTACATATGTATGTACATTAATTATTGCTATGCACTCTATTCAAGTTGTTACTCTCAGTTGCCATTAATAGCTCCTGACTTATAGTCACACACACACACACACACACACACACACAATCATGCCCATAATCGGGTACAAGATAAACCATTGTGATCTATACAGTTTTTCACAGGTTGACTCTCAGAAGTAGATCTTTTGGGCTTTCTTCTTAATTCAATTAATTTAAAAGATTAAAAGCAGTATTTTAATGCACATGAACCAGATTTATTTTTAAAGGCTTATTGTTGTTATTGTTATTAGGTACCATAAAGTACAACTTGTAGAGACAATCTAAATGACAGATCTGAACCTTGCCCTAGTCTGTGGCATCCTTACCATTTTGATACACTTGAGTCCACTTTTACAGTCACTGGGTCAATCTATCTTGTTGAGAGTCTTTCTTTCTTTCACTGATATTCACCTTTCTAAACATGACATCCTTTTCCAAGGACCAGACCTTCCTAACAACATGCACAAAGTATATGAGACAAAGGTGCACCATCTTCACCTCTAAAGGAGCACCCTGTTTGCATTTTCTCCAGGACAAATTTGTTCTCTTCACAGTCTATAGGATATCCAGCACTTTTTTCCAATCAAAGGAATTGATTCTTCTCTGTCATCCTTATTCATTGTTCACCTTTCAGAGGCATAGCAAGTAATTAGAAAGACTATGACCAGAATCAGTTTCACCTTAGTCTTTAAACTAACATCTTTGTGCCTAAGCATTTTGGACAGGTCTTTTACAGCAGCTTTTTTCAGTGCAACATATCTTCTAATTTCTTGACTGCTGACTCCAAAGGCACTGATTATGGATCCAAGCAAGATAAAATACTTGGCGACTTCAATCTTTTCTCCATCTATCATGATATTGTCTATTGATCCATTGGTTGAGATGTAATCCATATTGAAAGCTGCAGTCTTTGATCTTCTGCAACAAGTTCTTCAAGTCCTCTTCACTTACAGGAAGCAAGTTTGTGTTATTTGCATAATGTAGTGTGTTGGTGGATCTTCCTCTGATGCAGATGTCACATTCCTCTTCATAAAGTCTAGCTTCTAAAATGATTTTCTCAATATACACATTGAACAGCTATGGAGTAGGAATATAATCCTGACACATACCTTTCTTGATTTTAAACCAAGCACTGTTTCTTTCTACTGTTTGTACAACTGTGTCTTAGTCTAAGTACAGGTTTTATATGAACACAATTCACCATTCTGGGATTCCTATTCTTCTCAGTCTTAGCCATATTTTGTTATGTCCTTGCATAGTCAATAAAACACAAATATACATCCTTTCTGATTTTCTCTGCTTTAAACTAGAACCCATCTTATATCATCAATGATATATTTGGTGCTGAGGCACCTTTTAAATCCAGGTGAATTTCAGGCAATTGTCTGATGAGGTACTGTTCTAGCCAATTTTTTATAATCTTCAGCAAGATTTTACTTGTATATGATATTGATGATATTTTACTGTGTATTAAAGACTTAAAATATGTGTTCTAATATTTTCTACAAACATTTTAGATACTCATTGGTGCTTTCTTCCACAATCACAGATATATCTAGTTTTGTTGACAGGCAAAGAGAATTCATGACATCAAATATGTTGTTCTGATCATTAGATATCCCTGAGTTGATTCAACCCTATGCATAGAGAAAGAAACCCTGTACTATCTTGTACTATCTCACAATAATTGCTGTAGTTGAGTATATCTCTGCAGTCAATGAGTCAACCCATCTTATTGAGGATCTTCTTTTTCACTACTTCAGTCACGCTGAGTTGTAGTCAACTTTGTGGAATCTTACAAAAAAAATGAGTTTTCCAAATATGTTCTTCTCCAGAACTAGTCACTTTTGATAATATCAAAAGCATGTAAGATAAAGTCTTTATGTCCACGAGTCTCAAAAGCATTCTGTTAGTACTACTTCCAAGATAATCTTTTTATTCTTCTGATAGTGTACACTGTATATTCAATATTCTTTGCTAAGACATAATTCAAATGCAATTATGTAATTATGTACATGTTTATGTTGGTATTTATACACCTACCAAACTTCTTTGAAGATTCATACATTTCTTTATTATTTAGAAAAGACCTCAAACAAATAATGTTGAAGACTTCACTATTACTAAATAAAAACATTCTTAACACCATAAACACATGTATCATACCCACAGATCATTCATTATTCAAGGCTTTGTACTCTTTACTGCACATAAATTTAATATTGCACTCCATAGCCTCAAAGATGTTCATAATCTATGTCTTTACAAAAAGGAGCATACGACAGATGGACCTAAAGAATAGTAACCAAAATATTATTTGCAATATTACTTATGACAGCATAATATTAGAATCTATTTAACCTAATGATAAGAGTTTGATGACTCTGGCACATGATGTTGTTGTTGTTATGTGCTGTTGAGTCACCTGCAACTCATAGTGACCTGATGTATACAATAGCCCTGAAACCTGCTATATCCCATGCCTCTGATACACCTACCCTCTTTACCCCAGTCACTGAGTCAATCCATCTCAGCTATGGTCTTACTCTCTTTCTCGGTCCTTCCACCCTTCTAAGCATGATGTCCCTCACCGTGAACTGTTCCCTCCTTACAACATGCCCAAAATATGTCAGACAAAGCCTCAGAATCCTTTCCTCCAAGAAGCAGCTTTCACCCTCCAGGACAAACCTGTTTGTTCTCTTAGCAGTCCATGGTATATTCAATACTCTTCCTCAGCACCACAGCTCAAAGGCATCAATTCCCCTTCTGTCCTCCCTAGTCATTGTCCAGCTTTCTGATGCATAACATGTAATTGCAAAGACCATGGCCTGGATAGTGGATAAGACTGGGGAAATGCTCATACAGAGCAGATTCTCATACTGTGTTTATATATATGTACATTCACATATAGAGAGAGAAATAATGTCAAAGAAATGTCAACTCTGTGATCACAGGATTTGATTACCAATTTATTCTTTAAGGTTTTCCATATTTATAAAACAATTTGTTTTAACTGGTGTTGTAGATTGTTTTCAAGTTGAGCACATTTCATAGTGACCCTATGAACAAAAGGCCTGAAGCCCCTCTCCAACTATCAACATTTATCAAAGTTCATAGAGTTTCTGAAGGCATGTTATTTAGGAAGTGGATACCACTCCTGCTTCCAAACCTATCATAGTATGTTATTGTTTTAATGTGCCATTGAGTCTCCTGCAATGTATATAGAGCAGCTCTGAACCCTTCCCTATCTTGAGCCAGTCTCACTAATTCCGACACATAAACCCACATTGTTTCAGTTACTGTATCAATCTATCTCAACCAGAATCTCCCTCTCCTGTGCTGTCTGTCCACCCTTCTGAGCATGGTTTCCTTCTCCAAGGACCAATCTCTCTTGGCCAAATAACCAAAGTAAGGGAGGAGAAGCTTCAAAATCCAAGCTTTTCCAAGACAGACCTATTTGTTTTCTTGGCAGTCCATGGTATGTTCAAGATTCTTTTCCAGCACCACACCTCAAAGGCTTCTATTCTTCTTCTGCCATTCTTAGTAATTTTCTAGCTCTCTTAGGCATAACAGCTAATTGAGAAATTTATGGCCTGAATTAGGCTCACCTTTGTGTCTAGACTGACATCGTTGCTCTTCAGAACTCTGGAGAGATCCATGACAGGAAATTTTCCCAATGCAATTAATCTTTTGGTTTCCTGACTGCTAGTCTTAAGATCGTTGATTGTGGAGGCAAGCAAGCTGTAATTGCTAACAACCTCAATTTTTCTCCATCTAATATGGTACCTCCAACTGGCCCAGTGGTGAATATCTTTGTCTTCTTGACATTGAGCTTCAATCCATATTGAATACTATAGTCCTAGACCTGCAGCAAGTCCTTCAGGTCTTCTTCAGTTTCAGCAAGCAAGGTTGTTTCATCTGCATATCGTAGGTTGTTAATGAGTCTTCCTCCAATACTGATGCCATACTCCTCCTCATAAAGCCCTGCCTCCCGAATGATCTTCATGCAGATAATTCTTGTTTTAACTAGTTGATTAAGACAACAACAACAACAAAAACAAAAACAACCAACAAAGCATTGCCATCATTCATCATAGTGTTAAAGTAGAAATATTTAACAGGGTTTTCTTGACTATGATCTTCATGGCAGCAGATCCCAAGTCTTTCTTCTACACAACTAGATATGTATTTTAAAATAGAAAAGGCAGACTATATTTAAAAGAACAATAATTGGGCTTCCACAGCCTGGCCAGGGTCATATTCTGCTCACCAGATGTCTGGACAATTTTAAGAATAAGGTCCCTGAACTAAGTTATGAAATCTTGTTTGATTGTAATGGAGTCAACTGGATACCCAATTGTTGGAA